GTTAAATACATTTCCCATCTCTAAAGTGTTTTATTTTCATGATACAGGCTTTAATTAAGGAGAAACTATTTCAAAGACTGAGTGGCATTCTGCACTCAGAAAAAGCAAAACCAAAAAATGTTTCTCGTTTGTGTACTGCTATCAAGTTTTCTGGAAATCTTAAAGCCCAGGGCCTTCAATGTTTAGAAAGAAAGAATAAGGAGTCTCCTTCAGAAATTCAATAATAGCTACAGCCCCACTAGTTGGCTCTGTTCCAGCTCCCTTTCTCTCCTCTTCTTAAGCATTCTTAAATTAGAGCAATTTAACTCCCTACCTATGTCCTGATCCCCAGGGAAAGGTAGCACAGAATGGCTTCAATAATTATTCAAAGTGGACTAATAATAAATTAGCACATTTCTAAAAATGAAATTTTACATTTAAATGTGTAATCACTATCTGATGACATCTTGATGAAGACCCCTATAATTAAGAACATTATCTGCACAAATTTAATTATTTTTCTATAAACTATTTTCACAACTCCAAGAAAAAAAAAGCCTCTAAGTATTTTTCCCCATACAGTCTATTTTTGTGAGTTTGACTTTTTTTGAATTTTAGAAACATGTTAAAATTTGAGGTAGTTTATTTTCATAGGTGGTCCCTCTTCTAACGTTTAAAACCCCACTCATCTATATACCTGATCTATCAAAGAGAATTCTAAGTTTTTGCTTTTGTCTGCAAACTTGGTTCTAACAAGATTGTTAGAAGGCAGAAATGTGGCAGGAAATTGGAGGTGGCGAAAAACCGTCCCAATCATGAACAAAGAGATATACTGAGATATACTTAGGATGACTTTGTATTGTATCAAAATGCGATATTAGAAGATGAAGAGTTGAGGGTGTAAAGGAACAGAAAGGGGGAAAAGAGTTAACAAAAGGAAGATAGATCCTTCCCAAAGAGAAGCTTGTACATCTATTTTACGCCTATTATTTCTCTTGCTGACTACGTAAGGATGAGCTGAGACATCTTTACAGCTAGTAATCTTTAAGTAAAGATGCAGAAGAGCTTCCAATTACAGGAGCTGGACTCCCAATTAAGCAGCTAGGTTCAATCTTTAGGCAACTTTAACAAGCATTGTGAAACTTATAAACTCAACACAACAGAGAATAATGTTGGGAATTATGGTCCCATGTCCTTAAATTCAGTCCCTGAGGGCCCTAAAATCAATTTAGGGCTCCACAAACCTACTTTTATTCAGAAATGACAAAAATGTAGATAGAGTTTGTTGTTATTAGGTTTTTACTTTTTTTGAAATTGTTTCTCCCAGAAAAGATTATTTTGTGGCTCAAGACAGTGAGTTGCTCAGACAAACCTTCTCACTTCTTTAAAAAAAAAAGAAAAAAAACACTCTTCTCTTCTGAAATATTAAATAGGAAAAGCTGGATGGAATGGAAACTCAGAATCCATTAAGAATGGCTCTATATAACTTGTATGTAGTATCTGGAAGTTTATACAAACAAATACTGAATCAAATCCCTTCCTTAGGACTAGTGACTCATCTCCTTTCCCTCTGACTTCCAGCCACCTAAAAGCTTACAGTTTTGATTCGTTAAGAAGAATGAGTTGCTCTTAATTCTACTTAAGTATCTAAGACAAATATCCAGCAATTTACAAACACATTTTTAAATGCAGAGAGAGGCCTACCCACTAAATACACAGTAAATAAGATCCAATATAATTTATAAGGCTAGAGCATATGCCCAAAGGTAACATGCCTCTAGGGCTCATTTTTAAGGCAGAAAAGCAATGAGATTTAGCACCTAATCCCGATTCTCATAATCAACCTGAATAGTAATTTAACTAATCAGCAGCTCATTTCAAGTGTCTATATTTGCCACACACAATTCAAATAACTGCAGTCATTTGTTGGGAGGCATATTCTCTATGGAAACATCAATATGCAAAGAAGGGCAAGACCTCTGATCCTTGCTGTTAACTCTCCACACAGCTGTTAAGTGCATTTGTGAAATTTGAGTTGACCTATAAGTGCACTGTAATGCTTTAAAATCTAGCGTTTTAAAAATCAATATGGTTAGGAAAGTGTACTAATTAGACAGCATCCGAGCAATTAGAAAGTCAGTATTAAGTCAAGATACATTTTTATTATCATGAGGCTACTATGCAGCTAAGACACAGACCACCCATTTCCTATTAAAGATGTCCTTCCCAAGTTGCAGGCTAAATTCAATCAATACCTTCTCCTTGAATTTAGTGGTTAAAGAAGTGAATAAAAAATAGCTGGGCTAAGTCTGATTCTGAAGTAAGAAATAGAGTGCTAAGGCCCAGGTTAGTATAGTTAGAGATGTCTGGAAGTAAACGGTAGATAGGTTAATCTTTCCCAAGGAGCTAAAGCAGAGTAACCCTTGGGGAAGCCCAGCAGAAGGACATTTAGAATGGACTAAAGCCAGCTTCACACAATGAAGGGGGTGACTAGAATAGGCAATTGGCAAACAAGGAACCCCAGGCTATTCTTTGAAAGTACAAACTGTGAGTGGATGCAGCATGGCAAGGAGGGTGAAGCCAACTCTTACTCCTCCTTCACACAATTAAGAGTCGTGGTGAGCCCAGGAGTCTTCAAAAACCAAGGAGGGAGATGGGAGCAAAGACCTGCTAAGTGACTCCCTATTTCTCCTCCATGAGTCTGGGACAATCAAGCTGTCAAGCAAATAAGCAGGTGTTTATCAAGTACTTACTGTGTGTCAAGCTTTGGGTGCCAGGAATACAGACACAAATCAAACAGTCCAATTTGGAGGTTCTGACAATATAACCAGGAAAGACAACAGGGACACATAAAGTAGATACAAAAAGATAACTGGGGGAGGGGGAGATACTAGCAGTTGGGGGATCAGCTGAGCCTCTTGATTTGGGCCTTGAAGCACTCTAGAAGAAGAGTGGAGAGGGAAAGTGGGAGGGCATTCCAGGAGGATGGATGACCAGAGACAGGAGGTGGAATGTCATGTTTGAGGAACACTAAAGGCCAGTGTGGCTGTACCCTAGTGTTCACGAAGCAGGACTGACAAGGTGGGCTGGGTCTAAGTTGTGAAGGGCTTTAAGTGATCCAGTAGTTTAGTCAGTCAATCAATAAACATTTAAGTGCTTACATAAAGAGGAGCAAAGAAGAGCCCCTGCCCTCCAGGGGTTTTTATTTGCTCCCAGAATTGTCATGGAACCACTGGAGACAGGATGACATCTCTTTAGGAAAATCACTTCAGCAGCTGTGTGGAGAGAATTGACTGGGGCTGGACTTGAGGCAGGAAGCCCAATTAGTAGCAGGCTATTACAATTTTCCAGGCAAAAGTTGATAAGGACATGGGGGGAGGGGAAGGGTTAGTTGTACAAATGGAGAGAATAAGATGAGATGAGTGCAATCATGAATGCTATAAAAAGGCAAGAATACTAATGATTTTTGAAGTATTTTGCTTATTAGTGACATGATTTTTTTTATAGCAGTAGATAAAGACAAAAAATTTACTGTTCCATTATGGGACTTTAGTTATTAAATTAGTTCACTTTCTTCCCAGTAAGAATTTTTTACAACTTGTTTGAAATAAAGTCAAAAGTTTTATTATTGGCTTGCCAAATGAAGCAAAGACAAGGTAAAAATGATACAGGAAAAAAGGAAATTGGTATTAAATACTAAAAGGTTAAAAATTAAATCTGAAGCATCTGCCAACTATATGTTAAGTTCAGTATTTTTCTAAGAGACAGTTTGGTGTAGTGTGAACAACCTTAGACTTGGAGTGAGGAGAGACCTGGGTTTGAATCTCAGCTCTGACACTTTCTAGCTGTGTATGTGACTGTGGGCATGTTGGTTAACCTTTCTCGGCCTCAATTTCCTCATCTGTAAAATGAAGAAAGTATCTGTTGTCTCTTCATTACAGGCTTGTTGTGAGAAGCAAATCAGAATCTATGTCCAGCACCCTGCAAATTTTAAAGTGCTATATTAATAATGCCAGCTATTTATTATTATATTATTATACAGATGGCCTGAGAAACCACACAACTGGGCATTTTTCCTTTCAGGAGGAGTACAAAGAGTAGGAAAGAAACAAGAAAAAAACAAACCACCCCTCAAACCATGCCCCACACACAGCAGCAAAGACTTGCCATATACATCATTATCTCCACCTCCACTTCCAGAGGGTTTCTAAGGCCCCATGTCTGGCATTAGGAAGATGAGATCTAGGCATCTCATGGGCAGAGAGAATGCTGCTCAAACATTTTCTCTGCCTTTCCCCATTTCACACCTGAAGCCCTGTGTTGGCCAGGGTGACTCCTTTTGGATGTCTTCCATGTGGCAAGGACTGCTACATACAGCAAAGACCTTTAATAAATGCCGGATGATTCTGATGCCACACAGAATGTTAGCCTCTAGGAATAAGCGTCATGCCCACAAAAAGTATATTAACTTCTCAGGATTCTTAGCTCCAAAGAACAGTTACTGAGGTTACAAAGAAATTCATCTAAAGCACAGCCAAGCATATCTATTCCTTCCTAATAGTGGATTCTATTTGGGGAAAATCCTTTATTCAGTTCAATCTGTTTTCAGTCCACTAAATCAGGTGCTGTTCATCCTAAGAAACGAGCTCAGTAACTAGAGATTCACAAGAGGGTAAAAATAAAGTCTCAAAGGATCTGGCTGGTAGGCAATTTTACCCAAAGCTGTGATTCCATTGGATCCTGTGAAATATAGGGGAAGAATGGACTTAGCCTACCTAGCTCTGGAACACTGCCTGACTTGAAGAATTCACATCAGGAAACCCAACCCCCACAATGAACAATTAATAACATGTAGAATAATAGTCTTAACAGATGCAAGGCTGTGGAAAGAAGCAGGCAATGAAAGTTCAATCACTGGATTACTGTTATCAGAAAAAGAAAAAGTCCAGTAATTTCTGAGACGACTTCCTACAAAAGCTGAAAAGGAAAACAGCTTAAGAATTTTTAAACTAAAGACTCACCGGAATGCTTGATTTAGAACTTGATAATTAAAATGTTCTGGTGCCAATCCTATGACTACAGCATTAGGATCATTTACTGGTATTCCTGGGAGGGGGGGAAAAATAGAATAGCTGAAATTAGCACTGAAAAATGAATTGTATATTTTCTCCTTTTATAACTACTTTGCTTCAAACATGTATAAGTTCCCATTTTAGCCATATAATGACCTGAAGTGAAATGGACTTAAGAAGTACAGATCCTGATGCTCTACTTCATTCATTCATTCATTCATTCATTCATTTTCTGATGCTATTCTTTATAAGTACAAGAGGTCATTACTATTTTTTTTAATAGCAAGAAAGGGAGGAGATTTTTTTTTTAAAAAAAAAGGGACTAAAAAGCACAATAAACTCTTTCCTGCTCTTTGAAAAACACAGAATCCAGGAAAACAAAACTGGAAGTAACAACCTGCTGCTATGAAACAAGTAATTTCTAACTTCAAAAAACTTTACTGATTATAAGAAACGAGAACAGCCAAGACTTCGCTACCAGATCAATTATCAACTGATGAGAAACTAAAAATTCAACAAGATAAATTGGACCTTCTAATTGATATAGTTAAAAGGCAAAAGATTTATATGATCTGAAGAGAAATCAGAGTACTCTAATTGATATAGTTAAGGTTAGCCCCTTCTCAGTAAGCATGCAGTACAATGTAACTGGCACACACAATTTTCTGCATAACCTCAAATACAATTTTGGTTCTCTAAGTGTCACATTCTTTGCAATAGCCTTCTACCTAGACGTCTACATCTGGTCTGCATAATACTGCAAGATTAATCTTCCTAATGCATGAATTTAGTCACATCCTTTTTCTGCTCAAAAACCTTACTGACTCCCTCCTTCCCCACTGCTGCCTACTACTACTACTACTACTACTACTACTAATAATAATAATAATTAAACCATGCCAAAGCCTTAATCTTCATAATCTGAGCTCTACCCAGCCTCATTATCCTTCCTGCAAACCAGAGTCTGGCAATTCATGAAGGTAAAGAGGTCTTACAGGAGTGGAGAGAGAGTACCCACCCTGATGAAAATCATGAATCCCTGCTGTTTTTTATATTCGAGATGATTCCATTTATGGGGGGCACCCAGTTATCCACACATGTACTTTCTCTCTTAGTCTGGGGTAAAACTTTGGAGCAGGCTGACAAGGTCCTCTTCCCTCTGTCCCTTGGCCACACCTCCTCACAGACTGCCTGCCTGCTGGTGAGTTCTTCTGCTACGGACACTCTATGATTTGCTTCAATGGAGGAAAACTCATAGTGATGAGCCCACAGATACGTAAGGGACTGAAAACGGACCCCTGGGGTTTAGCTGGCAGGATGTTCTTGAGAGGGTTTATGGAAGGGTTCTTTCCTTGGCACTAGAATTTCAGAACAGCCTCTCAGGTCACTGACTCACTAACTGTAAGGCTGAGGATCCAGTTCATTTATGAGGAAGACATACAATTCACTTTCATGAAGCCTTGAGATTACACACCAGGGATAGAGGGGAAGACAGGCAGAGGAAGGAGGTGGAGGTACTGTGAACAAAACCTCTGATATGTGGAAGAGGAGAGAACATCGCTACAGGCCACAATTCTTTTGCTATGGGGAAACCTAAAAAGCCACAGAAAAGAGAGTCATGGGGCAGCAGGATCCACCCTAGAAATCCTCCAATTCTACTTAACTGGTTGGCAACATCTGCCATTGGGGAATTTTTTTTTCTTTCCAAATTTTTAACTCATTCATTTCTATTCATCTTTGGTATTCACTGTGGCACAGGAGCAAGATTTGGCTGAATTGCAAAGTTATTCACAAGTATAGCCAGTTTAATTATTCAGAGTTTCATAAGCAAAGTGTGGATTATCTTGGATCCTGGCTGTCCTGCCTCTCTGCAGCTGTCTTGTCACTAACTTTTCCACGAAACAGTGGGTGAGAGAACTAGAGTGAACAGAATTCGACATATATTTATCAAGCCCCTACCTACTATATGTAAGACACTAGGGTAGGCCCTACGAATATAAAAAATAAAGAGTTCCTACTGAAAATAGGGCTTACTTTCCAATGGGGGATAAAACATACCATGATAAGCATAATACAGGGTAAAGAGTAAAAGGATGCAAAGAAGAAATAAAAACCCTAAAACTCCAGAAAGATACTAATAATGAGAGAGCACTAAGACCTGGTAGGATCAGGAAAGGCTTCTCTGAGGTGGGAGCACCTCCTGGATCAAAAGTTCTAGGTTTCCTATTTGTTCAGAGTACTACCTCCAGTAAATCCTCCTGCACTGCTTTATATGAGCATGGAGGTGACCTGGCCAAAGCTGTGCTAGGGGAGTACCAGTTCTAGAAGACCTATTAGGCTCAGAGTACAGGCCTGGCAAAGGAAGACATACCAGGTCCCCAAAGACCATCGTGGCCACGCTCAAAGAAGCCCATCACCAGGGTGAGAGGAACAAAGTTTTCAGGGACAGCAATTCAAGAAGAGCATCTGTTGTTGTTGTTTGTCCTTCATTCTGAAGAGGACCAATGACATCACAGGGTGATGTCTTTGACTTGCAGGTGAATTAAGTGAAGCTGAGTTGCACAAAGTTGTCAGGATCACTCTCACTTCCAGGGTCACTGAAGTGGCAAGACAAAAGTCAAGATGACTGGCAATGGCCTGGGATCCAGTGGATGACCTAGGCATCTTCAATGTCTGACCAAGCTCTAAGCACTCCACAGTACCTGCTTCAGCCTTTATGGCCCCTAGAAGAAATTGTTCTCATCCACCCATTCTGCTAGGGTAAATCTTCACTGCTTGGGGTAGGCATCCCCCTAACTCACCAGCGGGTTTGAAGCCTGTCATTCACCCTCAACCTGGCTTAACCTGTTGCCAAAATGGTTTTATTGGGGTGTGATCACTGGGCACACTACTGCTTCTTGAGTCACAGGTGAGAGCTGAGTGACAGATGGACACCAAAGGTAGACGAGCAGCCCTGAAAAGGGCTCAGTAAGCCCTCAAACCAGAGGTGCTAGTCCTCCCTCAATAACCCATCCAACCCTGAAGATCGCCTACTAAGGTAAGGGAGGAATACCCAGATCTATGAAATCATGGATCCCTAAAGTGGTCACTTTAGTTTAGTAGCATCATTCCTATTATCACCAATAATCATTAAAATTTTAGCAGGGAAGCAGCTAAAACCTTTGGCCAAGTTTGGGATTATTGTGCATGAATTATCTATATTATCCTCATACCCTATTAGCACAGATACTTGGGCATTTTCCACATTCCTATGGTAGTATCTTAATAAAGCAAGGCCATCTTCAGTATTCTTATCTATCTAGGATAATTCAGCACAGTGATGGACCAGAAGATATCTTAAAGTCTGTCCCAGACCTAGGATTCAATATGAATATATTCCAAAACCAGCTCCATATTGGAATAAAAACTCCCAACTTTCATCAGATAAAATCAAAAGGGAAAAGCCTAATAAAAATGAAATATGTTTTCCGGTCTTTTGGTGAAACTAGAAGTATAAATACATGACTGTATTTCCTGCTAATATAGAAAAGTTCTGTGCAAAAATACACCCATTTCAAGCTATTTTTAAAAATTGTTCATATTTTGTGACTTTTTATATTTCTTTCTATATAGTGTCATTTTGCTTCATACATGTTATATGTAAAAGAAAACAAGGAGACAAGATCATCAATGTAAAAATAAGGTCCCACAGCCAAAGCAAAATTGTCTAAAAAAACAAAGGAGATGCCTTAAAGGTAATGAAAAGACACACAAGGAAGGTAAAATCCTATGTAAGAGGACAGAAAGAAGGGGCAAGAAGATTGTAACCTAGGTGTTGAATCAACATGAAAAGTTTATTAAAGAAGATTAGACTAAACCACTACCAGTAACACCAGCTATTTCGATGTAAAATTGTTAGACAAAAAAAAATCAGGATAAACACCTCTTTTTTTCAGGAGCAAACACAAAAGAAAAGATTTCTAAATTTCTCATACCTTCAAAGTCTGGCAGCGCCCGGTCATCAATGAGCAACATGGGCCTAACTTGCTTCTCCTGCACTAGGTTTCTAGCTGCTGTCAGAGAAGTGAATATCTCATGCTCAGCGACATCAAAGTTCATTTTTCTCAGCCTCTCTAACAGTTCTGCCTTGCTCTCTTTGGTTGTATTTGTCACAAACCTAAGGGCAACAGGAGCAGTACGTAACCTAAAGAAAGGAAAATGCAGGGGTTAATGGAGTACTTTCCTAAAAAAAGAAAAAAAAAACCAAAGTTTAACAAATAGAACTGGGTTTCTATAATAATAAGCATTCTGTTTTTCATACAACAAGCCCCTAAGGTCCATATTTTTAGAGGCAAAAGGCTCACTTTATCACTGCTTAAACAGTTACATATTCTCCGCTTTGGCCCTTGACTTCAAGGACCAGCAAAATTATATCCTAGAAAGCTATATCTATCCATCAGTGCTTCAGTGGTGTTCTCATATTTATCTGAACTGCATCTTATGTACTGCAGGGTTTAAGTTTTTTTTTTTAAAGAAAGAAAAGAAGAAAAAGCAAGCTTGACAACAATTACATTCAAAATTCCACCATAGGTGCCTTCTGAAAGAAAAGGGAATCAGAATCAGAGGCATAAGAAAAGATTCTTGAAGGTTACTTAGTAGTTCCTCATGTTAGAGGTAAGGAAATTGAGGCCCAGAGGAGAAAAGTGACTTGCTCAAGGTTGTAAAGCTAAGGAAGAGAAGAACATGGAACCCAACCCTTCCACTTCTCATGACAGGACTTTTGCTATGAAACCTTAAGAATATGAGGTTTTCTCCCCATTTACTATTAATTTTCCTTAGGCACTAAGACCAGTTTAACAAACAATAGCAATAACAGCAGCAAAAACAACAACAGAAACTAACATCATTATCACGCTTTTAGGTCTAGAAAGCATTTTATGCGTCATCTCATCTGTAGTCAAGACTAGCAGCTGCAACGACCTGCGCAGTTGAGGTAAATATTCCCTTTTTAGAGGCCAAAACATCTAAATTGTGCTTTGATTTTGGTGAGGTGATGTCACAGTCTGCCCTGTCCTTGAGACAGTTGGGTAAGAATCTAGGCTTTTTCATGGCTTTAAGTTTGAGAATCAAAGTGATTTTCTGGCTCCTTTTAAAAGAAAAATGTTAACATATTTTTTAAAATAATTATACTTTTACACATAATTAATTCACATACTTTTTAAAGTCTCAGAGACTTAAAATATTGGGGGTAGGGAAGAGACAGAGAAACTTGGAAATGGAAAGAATGAGAGGGGAGGGGGAAAGAGTGAGAGAAAATACCCAAAGGACACTACACCAAATTTATTTTATTAAATAATTCACTCTTTCTTGGAAATATAATTGTCCATGTGGCAGGTTTTCTGTAAAACACATTAACTTTGGTGTTTTTCCTTTCAAAAAAATGGATTACTTCAACAAAACTATTATCCTAAAAATGAACATGTGTAAGTACTGAAATAGTCACATCATTTTTAATGAGTTTTCACTTTTATTTTTACTACTCCCCCACCTTCCCTTTGCCTATTTGTTACTATAGAAACGAAAACTGGCAGTGCTGCTATTGAGGATCTTTTTCTTTGGAATGGAAATGTGCCAGTCTTTAGTATCAGAGTGATCAAAGACTTACATACTTATTTAGAGAAGTCATTATTTAGCCAAATATATTAACACAATTTTCCTTTTCCTCTCACCTGCAATCCTAAAAACAAAATCTAGCTTAAAAATAAGCAAAGGTTCTATTCAGAGGCAGAACAGCTTGTAATCAGAACTTGTTTTCGTTACACAGTCGGTAGGCCGCATCCATAATCAGAAGTTTCATCTCCTCCATTTCTCCTCATGGCTTTGGACAAGATTATTTGTTCTCAATTCCCCATCTGTAAAGTGGAAAGGCTAATACTTAGCTTACCTTGACCTATCCCTTCCTCTGAATGTCTATAGCACTTTCTTTTCCTGACCTATATCAAGGAATGAAAATTATATTATTTTAACAGTGGTTCCAAAACTTTTCAAATTATGAGTAACCCTTCTTAGTGTCTTTTGCAGATTCCCAGAGATTATTATCCATTGACTGACATAATACGTAATGACAAGAAGCTGCTAGGAATTCAAGCAATGTTTGAAATAAATATTTTCATTAATGACAACAGTGATCTAGATACAATAGAAAAATACCATGTGTATACACACACATACGTATACACATACAAACCATGTATGTGTATATATAACATATGTATTATGCTTCCCATACTTATATGATATATGTGTGTGTATGCACATGTAGGCAGCACGGTACAGTGGAAAGAACATGGACTTGGAATCTAAGGAACCTGAGTTCAAATACCACCTGTCACTACCTGTGGAACCCTGGGCAAGTCACCTAACGTTTCTGGGCCTTACTTTCATCATGGATAAAATTAGGAGGTTGGACTAGATGGCGTGAGGTCCCTTCCAGCTCCAAACATCATCCTATTCAATTTGTGGTTCAAATATCATTTATGGACACCTTCTAATTTTCTTTCTTTCTTTTATTTTTTAAGGCAATTGGGGTTAAGTGACTTGCCCAGCGTCACACAGCTAGTAAGCGTCAAGTGTTTGGTCTGAGGCCGCATTTGAACTCAGATCCTCCTGACTTCAGGGCTGGAGCTCTATCCACTGCACCACCTAGCTGCCCCTGCCTTCTAATTTTTAGCACATCGGTCTATGGCCCAGGTTGTTAACCACTACATTAGACAATTGAGCACCTGATGATAGCCTCTGAAGCGGTCTCACTGTGTCTTATGCCCCAGTCTCAAACCCTCCACAGGGTTTTAATCTCAAAGGAAAGGACAATATTCTTACATATTTTTTGTACTCACAATACTTAGTACCTATCTGTGAACTGGCTATCTCACAAGTATCGTAAGCATCTTTCAAACTTAAAAAACAACAACAACAACACAACCAGTGTTAAGCATTAAGAATTTTTCAAATTTAATTCTTTTAAATAAGACAATGTATGAAACTGACACAGGTAATCATGCTGACTCACAATGTCTGGCCTGGATTTGCTCAACTTTTTATTAACTGAACTCTGTGCCTGACCCTAAGCTAAGTACTATGGAGGACATAAGAGATGTATAAGGTAGACCATCCCTGGAGGCTTTACTTACCCGTTTGTTCACTTTATGCAAACCAAAGCCACAACTGCCAGTCTTTTTATCTTCATTTTTATTTAAACAAATTTAACACTTTTGCTAATCTAACAATATAAAGAAAATAAAGCTCACTTCCAACAAGCTTTTCTTAACAATTGGAATTTCCAGTCTTCGAGTTCACTTATTTCTCTGCAAACATTCTATATTTAAGAACACAGATATTTTTTCTTACTACAGAGGAGAAGTGAAGGGTGAAAATAATGCTAATTAAATAAAACAGTCAAAACACAATAATCAAGTACCCTCTCTGAACAAGGTATTATGCTGGTGCTGAAAAAACACACCATCCCTAATGCTTTAATTTTTACAAAGTGTTTTCCTCACCACAACCCTGTGAGACACAAAGTACAGGTATTATCAACCCTGTTTTATAAATGAAGAAACTGAGGCTTTGAGAGCTTAACTGATTCAGCTATTGCCTTGGCTATACTGCTATTTAAAGCCATATAAGCTCAAAGTATTTTAAAATATTACAATACATGCACCTTAGAGTTAAACCCAAAGCAGTCACTTTCTAGAGGATAAGCTTATGAAGGGTCATCTTTGGACTATCCATTTAGCTAATGACCTGCCTGGGTAAAATGGCACTCATAAACGTTATTTGTCAGCTGAACGTGGAGGAAAGCTTGCCTTTTAAGAGCGTCCTGTGCGCCTGGTACAGCTGCATCTTCAATGTGAAGTGTGCCACTGAGATCCACCAAAACGGCTTTTAATGCACGGCGTGCCGCCATCCTTCATTCCCTAGGAGGAAGAAAATGAAATTAAAAATACTATTTAGAAGACAATGGAAAATGAAAACTGATAAGTATGCAAACAGTATCATTCACACACAGAAAGATAGCATTCAGTGCTAAGATCATTTTTAGGGAAGAAAAAAAGTTTTTGAAAAACAAGAAAATTCAAAACAAATAGTAAAAATTTCTATCTACTTTTCCCACAAGACAAGGATTAAAAATAAGAGAACATGCAAAAATGAAAGTCAGAGTATATCAAGATATTTAAACCATTTTTCATACAGATTAATATGTAACCACATATTAAATATAGAAAACTATAGATATAAGAGAAAAGGGAAAGTACTAAAGGTTTATCAAATTCCTAATATGTTTGCTAAATCATAATGAAAATGAATGTTTTTTAGATCATATCCTGAAATCCCATATGCACATTTACCACTTTCTGATGACATATTTACGTCACTAAAGGAAAAATAAATAGGTTATAAATATTGAATAAATCACATATTTCCCTTAGTTTACCAATGTTATCTTCCCTCCCCTTTTTTAATGAGTGTACAGATTAAAACACCTCTCTTTGATTCAGACCAATCACCCTCTTATGCTTCTTTTTTTTTTTGGTGAGGCAATTGGGATTAAGTGACTTGCCCAAGGTCACACAGCTAGTACGTGTCAAGTGTTTGGTCTGAGGCCGGATTTGAACTCAGGTTTTCCTGACTTCAGGGCCAGTGCTCTATCCACTGCGCCACCTAGCTGTCCCCCTCTTACGCTTCTTCAAGGGTAGGATATAAACTGGGCAGATGATTTTATGGGCCATCTAAATCTTTCTTTATAGAGGATAACATGAAAAGATAAATTTCATGCTATGGCAACCAAGGCCAAATTTCTACTCTTAAATTAAAAGGCAGGTATAGAATTATATTTATAAAACTTAGATTGTGTTTTTCTTTTATATTTTTAGAAACTTTAGTAAATATGGAAAGGGAATTCTTACATAAGACATTTCAGATGAAGAACATGAGACAGAGAAACTTGGTATCTATCTAGGCTCTTTCAAAAGCCACCCAAAACAAAAATCCAGATCATATTCTGCAAAATTTTTATAAAACGTTTTACCACGTAACACAGACTTAGTACAATTGTTACGTTTAAATCAAAACATATTTCCCCTTTCCTGCTGTATCCTTCCATATAAATGGCACAGTTCTATCACAGTAACACAAACATTTGAGAAAGGTACAACTAGAACCTCAGTTTTAAAAACAGTTATTATAAGCCAAAGGAACAGGAACAGTACAAAGAACTAAAGAGTTTGAAGACTAAAGTTTAAATTCCAGCTCTTCTACCAACTGCCTGTGTGACCTTGGACAAGTCACTGACCCTGTGCCTCAGTTTCCCTACCAATAACATGAGTGGGTTGGACTAGGTTGTTACCAAGATCTCTTCCAGCTCTAAAAATTATACAAGTCTATGAATTTCTATTTGTAATTAAAATATGAAATTCTATTTGTAATTGTCATCTTCCTACAAGCCCATTGGCAGTGAAAAGAGAAAAGACAATAAATGTTTGCCTTTATCACGACACAACTTTCATTTGACTGTAAGAGTATTCACGACAAACAATAAATTATGTTTATAAAACTCAGTCTTATCCACTAAAATTTAATTCTGGTCCTATACCTAGCATATTTATGAACCACTCACTGGAGAAATTCACAAATCCACCAAACCCGACTCTGACAAGAATCTACCCTTCAGAATAGATTTACCCAACTATTTTCTCTCACGTAAATATTTTTCACCTACAAGTTATTGGTGCCTAGGATTATTTCCCCAACTCCCAGGATCCCCAGCAGAAGAACCACAAATACTAAAGAAGCTGCTTCCTTGCCAAACTCTCCCTTCATCACAATGATGGCGTGCTTGGGTACTTGTGTTTGGGTGCCTGTACTTGTACTTGGACCCCAATTTCTCCCTAGTCCTAGAAACACTGTCTCTGACAACTACTCCCCAGCCCAAGGACACTGTGCCTAGCAGTTACTCATGCGTGGGCCCCAGCAAGACCCTTATCTCTCTCCCTGGTGCAGCTACACAAACCTGGGTGAGAGCCCCAGCCCTCAGATCATGTGTCTGGAAGCTTCCCAATTCCTTAGTAAGCCCCTGTCTTGTGAGAAAGCTTTCCCTTGTTGCAGAGCATTTTCTCATCAAGACAGAGAGAGAAGGGTGCCTTGCCCAGACCAAGGAGTTTCGTCCTTGGTTGGCCCAAGGACTCTTCCTCCTGCCAGACTCTCAAGATCTATACCTCTGTCATCTCCCTCCCTGTCTGGTATACTTACTGTACTTTCCCATCCATAGTTCCCAAAGATACCTGCACCTTTAGATTACCTCATCAGTGTCCCTGGCATTCCTTTCCCATGCCCTTTTCCATAAAAACCCTAGCTCCATCCTCAGTCTCTTACAGGTTCCTTAAGAATCCTTGCCCGCTGAAAAGCGTAACAATAAATCTTTGCCACCTTGACTTAAAGAATGCTTGAGTCTGTGAATTCATTCCAGACGACCCTGTCCTGTACTCCAGTCTTTGAGGGGTCTCAACCTTTCAGACTGCAACAACTCTTCCTTGCTTGACGCTGGAGGCAGGGCGAGACAAAGACTAATGGTGGCAGGCAGCCAGCTATTGGTCAGAACTCGGTACCAGAGAAACTATGCATAAATGGTCATAAAGTATAGGTAAAATAGTATTAAAGCTGGTTCTTCTACATTATGAGTTAAAGGTGGAAACTAATCCACCCACAAGCATTTAATAAGGACCTATCATATACCAGACTCTAGGGATAACAAAAATATATATGAAGCTGTCTGCCCTCAAGAAGCTTACATTCCACTTGGGGTGATAACATGCACATTCGAGCATGCAGAAAATAAATACAAGATAATTTTTTGGGGAAAAACACATCGCAGCTGGGAGAATCAGGAAATGCTTCTTATAGAAAAATTGCATGTGAGCTGAGTCTTTAAGGAAACCAGAGATTCTGAAAAAGGAGAATATTCAGGGCATGGGAAAAGTCACTGCAAAGCCATGAAAATAAGAAACTGTCAAGTGTGAAGTCCACCAAGATGGCCTAAATGGGCCTTGGACCTTAAAGTATAAGAAGGGAAGTAAGATACAATAAACATGGAAAGGTAGGTTGAAGCCAGGTTGTGAAAAGCTTTGAAAACCAAACTGTGAAGTTTGTATTTGGCCCTAGAGACAATACCAAGCCACTGGAACTTTTTGAGTGATATGGTCAGATCTTTTAGGAAAAATGCTTTGAGAGCAGTATAGAGGATAGATTGAGATGGAAGAGAAATCTGGGGCAAGGAAACCAATTAGGAAGTTACTGCAATAGTCCAGACAAGACGTGATGAGGGTCTAAACTAGGTAGTGGCCATGTGAGAAGAGAAGGGGTTAGATTCAAAAGACATAGAGGTAGAATGGACAGTATCTAGCAAATGAATGGTTATGGGGCAGAAGATGAGTTAGAATTTATGAGCCTGGGTAACTAGAAGGATGATGGATCCCTTGACAGAAATAGAAGAGGGGTCAGACAGTTCAGAAGAGGAGTGGGTTTGGGGGGAAAATACGAATTTTGTTCTACATGTGAAAAGTTAGAGATAGCTACTGGTCATCTAGTTTTGAGTGTCCAGTAGACTACTGCTGACATGGGACTGGAAGTCAAGTGAGAAATAAGGACTGTACAGATCAGTGAGTCATACAGAGATACAATAATTAAACCCGTAGGAGCCGATGAGATGACGAAGAGCAGGCTTAGAAAGAGAACAGAGAAGAGGAGAGCTTTTGTGTATACTCACAGTAGGGTATACACAGGGGACAGGATATAAATGAAGAGCAAGCAAAGGGCACAGAAGTACAATCAAATAGCTAGGAGACCTGGGAGCACAGTACATGAAGATCCAACAAAGAGAGACTATCCAGAAGGACAGGCTGGTCAGCAGTGTAAAATGGCACAGAAAGGTGAAGGATGAGAACTAAGATAAGGCCTGAAGGTTAGATAATTAAGAGATCATTGGAAAAAATAATAATAAAAGAAAAAAAGGAAAAAAAAGAAAGAAAAAAAAGATAATTGGTAACTTTGAAGACAGCAGTTTTAATTGAGTGATAAGATCAAAAGTCAGACTGCCAAGTCCTGAGACAGAGATGGGGAAGGACTGAACAGGGAGCTCATGGTAATATATTTATCTTCTCAGTAAAGTCTGATGTGAGGGCTTCATCTGAAAGGGTGGAAGAGGGAATGGTGTGGGAGGCTGGAAGGAAAATGAACATGTCGAGAATAGCTTCTGTGAAGGATAAAAAATCAAGAAGGGAGGTACGAAAAGATGGCCTTGCTACAGTGAGAGCCCCATGGAGATTAGGTAACTCCAAAAGTAGAGGTAATCCAACTAGGGGCTGGCAAGGCATATGTGGCAATGGACTTGAGAGTAAGGGTGGGGGAGAGGCGGACTGATCAACGCTAGGGTCACTACTGAGAAGGGAAGAAAGTGAAGTGAAAGCAAGTGGGACAGCTTGAGAAAATATTGAGGGATTTTATGGCCTGGAGATTTCCCATGTGCAATCTCTAGCTAAAGCCTTGTGATTTTACCTTTGTAACATCTCTTTCCTATGTCCCTTTCTCTCCTCTGACATTGCCCCCACACCTCATGCCTGGACTACTGCAAGAGCCTGCTGGTGGGGCTCCCTGCCTCAAGTCTCTCCCCACTCCAGTCCACCCTTTACTCAGTCATCAAAGTGATTTTCCTAAAGAGCAGATGTGACCAGGCCACTCCCCAACCCAAACTCCAGGGGTTCCCTATCACCTTCAAGATACAATATAAAATTCTCTGTCAAAGGCCTTCATAACCTGTCTCCCCCCCAAAACACACACACACACACACACACACACCCCTTTCCAGTCTTCTTCCACCTTTGTCCCCACTCCCCATACTCTGTGATCTAGTGACACTTGCAAT